CTACACCCTAAACCCCCAAACCCTAGGCCCCTAAACCCGAAACCCTAAACCCCTAAATCCTAAACCCCTAGACCCTAAACCCTAAACCCCTAAATCCTAAACCCTAAACCCTACACCCGAAACCCTAAATTAGAGCCTAAAGGCTCCGCACTTTCACCGCTGTCACAGATACGGAGCGTGGGGCCTCTCCTTTAAAACCTACCTTTTTTACGGTTCCCAGATATGACACCTACCATTTTTTAGGGTTCCTCATCATGACACCTACCTCTTTTCGGGTTCCTCAGTACGAAACCTACCTTTTTCGGGTTTCTCAATATGATTCCTTTGCAGAAGTCCTTTAAAAAAAACGTAGGTTCTTCAAGGGTTCAGGTACCCAGAGAGCACAATACCCCTTAATTAAGGAATCTACCTTAGATGATAAGGGACTTAATCTTATGATTTAGGGCATATTCCTGAATTAAGGGGTATTGGGCTCTCTGGGGCCCCATGAACCCTAAACCCTAAATCCCCCAAACCCTTATAGATCCCTTTAAGGGAACCCTTATGGATCCCTTTAATTAAGGGGTATTGGGCTCTCTGGGTAAACCCTGAGCAAAAATTTCGAAGATCGTGGCCGAAGGGCATCCTCCGGCGCTGATTGCGTCTCCGGAGTTCCTTGGCTGGTCTTGGAAATAACGGTAAAGAGCCCAGCTTCTTAAGAGGTTCCTTATTACGGTGTCTATGTATATAGTTCCTTAACTAAAAAAGGGAAAAACCTAAACCCAAAGAGCCCATTACCCCTTAGTTAAGGAATATACCTTGAATTATACGGGGCTTAGTATTTATGATTTAAGGTACATTCCTTAATTCAGGGGTCATGGGCTCTCTGGGTAAAGCTTTGTTTTGTTTTGAAGGCTGGTTTAGGAAGGCTTTACGAATCGGTTTAAACGGGCTTATGAGGTTGTTTGGGTTACTAGGGTCGCGCCTAGTCTCCAGTATTCCTTCAGTCAGGGGCCCTGGTTAGGGGCACCTACAAGAATCTAAGGAGGATTCCTGGTATCTCCAGCCTGTAAGGGGTCACAGTGCAAGGGGTTCAGGGTTTAGGGTCTATGTGCTGACTTGAACCTTTTCATTTTTCAATCCAGTGGAGGAGCAGATGGGTACTTCTTGAGAATGTACCTTAAATCGCAACACTAAGCCCCGTGTACTTTAAGGCATATTCCTTAAATAAGGGGTAGTGGGCGCTCTGGGGTCAAGAACTGATCTCCCACCCCTTCAGCATTAGCAGTTTCGATGGCTGTGAGCAAACTGTCGGGGCCTTGATGAGTAGAGTTGGGTGTTGGGGGTTCTTTCTACTATGATAAGAAAATAAGTAGCCTTAAACAGGTGTATACTACTAACTATTCAGACACGGAAATTAACACGAACACTAGAAGTGATCAAGAATAACGTCCCAGGATTCGAAGGGTGCCCAGTGTGATCACGTGGACCATTGTGCCACCAATGCCTCAGGGCCCAAATGTGATTCTACTGGGTTTGGTGATACAGAAGCCTATGCCAACACCGTATCCTTTAAGGCATATTCCTTCACTAAGGGGGTCTTGGGCTCTCTGGGTCTGCTACAGATATCACTTCATTCCCTACGAAGATCCAGCAAGGTTTCGGGGTTGGGATGGCCCTGAAACCACCGGCCCTTTCTGGAAACACAATGAAATCAGAAGACTAATTGAAGTAGCCTGATACGTTTGCAGAAGAGAAACAGCAGGGAAGTACGGTACGAGTGGACCAATTACAGCTAGCCCCAAGCACTGAAAGCGTCCTGTCGGGATTTGAGGCGGGTGGATTTTGCAGCCTTCTACTCGGTTTGGTTGCTTCAGAAATCGGATTCTTTTATGTAGAGGTTTGCGGTATGCGCTCTTTTCGGGGATGAGATTTTGGACTGCCGGTGCCTTTCGCCGTCGTGCCACAATACGAGCTCAGCCCTTCAATGGTGATGACCTCACTGGCAAAGAGTCCCGCGTCGTCGCGGCTGGGCTGCTCAATCTCGGGGTTCAGCTGATGTAGATGCTGCAGCGGCGTGATGGCGCCAAACTTCTGGCTGGCGAGTACCTTCAGAATCTGTGCCATTCCGGCACACTCCAGCGCCATTCCACCTTAGCTTGGCCAGGTAGCCAGAGAGCCCAATACCCCTCAAATAAGGAATATACCTTAAATTATAAGGGGCTTAATATTATGACTTAAGGTATATTCCTTCATTAAGGGATATTGGGCTCTCTGAGCCCACCAGCCTGATACCAAACTTCCCCAAAACCCCTTATAGGCCTTACAGCCACAAAGCCCCATCAGCCCTGATGCCTTGTAGGCTCTTTTTTTGTAAAGTGTACCCATAAGGGTTTCGGGTTTATGTTTACCCCAAGCCCAATTTTAAAACCCTAAACCCTAATCCCTAATCTTTAAACCCTAAACCCTAAACCCCAAATCCCTAAACCCTATTTTAAACCCTAAACCCTATTTTATAAAGCCCCCGGCCAAAGTCCAGTGCTCAAAAGGCAGAGCAACTCCCGGAGAAGCCGCTTGTCAGGGACAGGGGCGCCTGAACCCGGGGCCGGAGACAACTTCAAGGATAGGGTTTAGGGGTTTAGGGTTTAGGGTTTAGGGGTTTAGGGGTTTTAGGGGTTTAGGGGTTTAGGGTTTAGGGGTTTAGGGGTTTGGGGTTTAGGGGTTTTAGGGTTTTAAGGCTTGGGGCTTAGGGTTTAGGGTTCATGGGACTTAGTAACTTGGGTTATAAGTAGGGTAACTCTACTTAGAATTACTGATAACCCCTATTTAAGGTACTTATAACCTTACTTACCAAGCCCCATGATCCTCCAAGAAGACGGGGGATGCAGGGTGGATTCGAACATCTAATATAGGGGCCTGGGCCTTAATAGTAAGAGTAAGGTTTTGGGGTATGTTATGCTAGAACTATACTAAGGAGCCCCCAAACTAGTTTAGGCAATTATTTAGGCCCCTATATTAACCGGTTTAAGTTTAGAGCTTAACAATTCGAGCTTAAGGGTAACCCTTATCCTTCCACTCTACCTCAGCCTATTAGAACCAGATTTGGGTGTTGGGGCTTCTGACTCAAAAAGGACCCAGCACAAAACGTGGAACAAGATTATCCACTAAATCCTAACCCTTAACCAGTAATCCCCAAACCGTGGGAGTTAGGATTAGGGGGACCCTTGGGGATATGGAGCCTCTCAATAAGGTCCCTTTTAAGAGAGCCACAAGTAGGGTTCAGAAGGGTCCCCTTTAAAGGGCCTCCCTAATACCACCTAGGAAACCCTGATCTCCCAACCACAAACCCTGATCCCCACAACCTGAAAGCTTAGTAAAAGAACCCATCGAGAACCACGGTTTAGGGTTTAGGGTTTAGGGTTTAGGGAACCATTCTTGGACCCGACACCTGGGCCCTTTTAAGAACCTCCCTTTTTTTATTGGGCTCCTTATCATGATTTCCTTACATAAGTCCTTAAAGAGGTAGGTTCTCTGGGGTCTAGGAGTCCCTCAAAGAAACCCCCTGCTGGTCCAGTATTTTGAATTTTGGAGAATAAAAAGCTCAACCTTTGGGAGAAACATTGGGATCATATGGGTAGTTAGTTCTCTGAAATAGCATCCCGCTTTTGGGTCCCAAATATAGTACAGCACCCTTATAAAAAAGGACGCTAAGAGGGACCCTAATTGAGAGAACTACCCATACAAGGGTTTTAGTACCCGCCCAAAAAACGTTAAAGGTTACTTACCCTACGACTAGGAACCAAAACTAAGTTCCCCAGCAACCCCCTTAATAATATGGGTACCCTTTTTCCCTAATATTCGGCTTTAACCAGGAGACCCCCAAATAAAAAGGGCAAAAGGGTACTACTAGGAACCACAATTAATAATATGGGTACCCTTTTTCCCTAATATTCGGCTTTAACCAGGAGACCCCCAAATAAAAAGGGCAAAAGGGTACTACTAGGAACCACAATGGTACAAATCCTGCATTACCCATAATTAAGAATATACCATACTTCCCATAGTTTCGGGCCCTTAAGGTAATGCAGGATTTATATCATCAGCAGTAGGAGCCAATATGAAACCTAAACACACAAACCCCTAAACACCTAAACCCCTAAGCCCTAAACCCTAGGCCCTAAAGCCTAAACCCCTAAACCCCTAAATTCCTGAAGCCTAAACCCTAGGCCCTAAAGCCTAAACCCCTAAACTCCTCAGGGTTTAGAGTTTTGGGCTCAGGCTTTCAAGGGCTTTCTGACACTCCAAAATCAAAACCCTAAGCCATGACCCTTGAAGGAAACTTGGAGCAAGGCGAAAGCACAACCCCTGAGCCCCCAACCCTTAAAGGAACCTCGAACCAGTCGGAATCAGAACCCCTAACCTTCAACCCTTTACAGGAACTTAGAGAGAACCTTCAAAAGACACCCATAAAACACCCGAGGCCCTAAACCCTTCAGTGCTCTGTCAGTGAGTACTAAAATTGTTCCTTAGGGTTCCTACTATAACCTTGGTTTCTGAGTAGCCTCTTTATAATAAGGGTACCCTTTTTCCTACTATTCGGTTTTAGTAAGGGGGGCCCTACAATAAAAAGGGCAAAAGGGTACCAC